CAAGTATACTATTTTTTGTTGGCAGTTATTTTTTGTTTGTTTATGAGGACTCAGGCCAGCATTGATTTGTTTGGTCTCTGCCTGGATGAAACTGCCTGCAGACCATATTCAGTATGACAGGTACTGGGAAAAGAGTCCACCTCAGGACTCACAGTTGGGGTAGATGGTAGACCTGTTACTGGGTGGGCAAGTGGGTGTGGCTCGCACTGGAAGGCCTCCTGCTTGTTCACTGGGTAGGTCTCTGGTGGGCAGGACTGGCCCCAGACCATGGCTGAGAGGAACTGGAGCTTAGTCCCAGTGGTGCTTCAGGGTCCACACCCAGGAGGAAGGTCTCCAGACCTGGCTATGTATCCAAATGTATCAACTGAGCATGGAGTTGGTCTTGGAACTTTTCCATTAGAATTGTAGGGTAGAGAACAGAGAGGAGTGGGATAAAAATGAATAGAATATTGAAATTTGCAGCAATTTTGTGAACTAGAAAGCCTTAAAAATCTCCCACTCTAAAAACACCAAGTAATATTGTGCACAATATAACAAGCATCATTTAAAATACATAAATGAGTTTGCAGGAACATAAGAAATCCCTAGAGGCTAGAAACAACAAAGAACTGGAAACAAGGCTGTAGGTTGAAACAGAAATTCCTGCTGTCCATCTTTGTAACAAAAGACTTGTATTTTAAACATTGCATAATACTATTACAAAATATTAATACATGTAGAAATTCTTAAAAAATAAAATATAAAATTACATACAAAATGTATTAGGTAGAGTAAAAACAAATTAGAGTGAAATGTTTCAAAATGCATTTGTTTAAACAGAAAGACTAAAAATAATAAATTAAACAGATATACAAAGTAAGAAAAGATAAACAGAACAAATCAAAAGTAAGTAGGAACAGGAAATATAAAGTTCAAAGAAAAATTAATAAATGGAAAATGAGTTGAGAGACTCAACATAGCTAAAAATTAACTCTTTGAAAAAACAAATGCAAAATTCTCTCTCAGGTTTGGCAAGAAAAAACAAAAGCAAATGACGAGTTAGAGAGAAGAAAAAACACTTTAAAATTTTAAAAAATAGCATGTGAACTATTGTTAACTAATGGATTTGGCATATTGATAGTTAAATAAATTTGGCAAATTTAATAATTTTATCAAAAGTTGGTAATTAACTAGAAATCATTCAAAAGGAATAGAAAACCCGAATAAACATGCAATCACTAGAAAAGTGATTCAGTAATAAAACTATCCACAAATATAAAATTAGCACACAAAATATACCACAATAAAAATCAGATAGGAATTTCATAGGTTTTATCAAACATTCTAAGGGCATATTATTCTGAACCTGTACAAACCCTAAGATGATAGATATTAATTTTATTATGATTATATAAACTTGATTGCAAAACTACCTAGGAGGTTATAAATTACAGCCATTTTTACTTATTAGCAGATATGTCAATATGCAAAATGGAAAAAAAAACCTAACCCAAATCCATCAAAGTATTAAAAAACTAGTATATATTGATCAAATTTGGTTGTTTCAAGTAATAAAGACTGCTTTGGCACTTAAAAACCTATCACTGTAATTTACCACATTACCATAATAAGCAGGAAAAAATGGCAAATGATTCATCTCAATAGATGTAGAAAAGGACTTCAGTAAAATTTAAAAGTCATATGTAATTTAAAATATTTGATCAAGCAAGGAAATTCCTAATTTTAAAAAGAAATATTGATTAAAAGTCTGTAGGAACTGCATACAAAATGATAAATATTAAAAACATTCTCTTTTAAAAACAAATAATTTATAATGCTTAGATTATCACTTTTATTCAATATTGTCTTACATTGTCCTACAAGTCCTCCAAATACAGTAAAAACCAAAAGGACATAAGATTAATAAGAATGAAGCAGGACAGTAATTATTTTCAGATTATCTGTCTTTTTTCATTTAAAATGAGATAATATTGACATAAAAATTTTGGATTAGTAATGTTACTGACTATAAGATCATATAAAAATACACTTCATTTTTATATACTAGCAACAAATAATTATGAAAATAGAATTAAATATTTATAATAGCAGCATAAATAACAATGATAAGGATTAAATCTATCCTAATATTGTTTTATAGGCATAATTATAAAGAATTAAGGAGCCTCAGGATAGCCTAATAGGTCTATGGAAACTTGAAAAATAACAAAGTTTGCATTTCAGATCATGATGGCTATTCAGTAAATAGTTTGGGACAACTGAATGTATTCCTAGCAATTTATACAACATTAAAAATCAGTCTAGAATTAAATGCTTAAATATAAAAGAATTTACATTTATAATATTTATAATTTATAATATTTAAATATATATATACCCAAATATTTTTATAAGTCCCCTGAAAGGAAAGATTTTTTTCCAACAGCACAAGAAGTGAAAACAACAAGAAAATGACTGATACATTTTATTACATTTATACTAAAGTTATAAAAAGATGTCCTGAGGGATTTGAAAATGCCAGTTTCAGTCTTGGAGGTGTCATTGGACACATATACATCTGATAATGTATTAATATTTACAATTCAAATGTATAGGAGAGTACAAATTAAAGTCACATTGTATTAGTTGGCTATTGCTAAGTAACTAAAACTCTTCAATAAAGAAACTTATAGCAATAAGCAAAGTAAAATGGAAAATGTCCCTGAATGATCTCTGCTGTTACATGCTGGCTCTCCAGAGGCGAATGTAATTGATTGACTAAAATATAAAATCAAACAAGCAGAAAGTCTTATCCTTTGTGTGTTCTTCCTTATGAATAATATGATTAACACAGTGGCATTTTTAGTGCCTCATGAACCCACCATGAATTCTTGCTTTACCCTATGCTAACACATATATATGGAATTTAAGAAAAATAAATGTCATGAAGAACCTAGGGGTAAGACAGGAATAAAGACACAGACCTACTAGAGAATGGACTTGAGGATATGGGGTTGGGGTAGGGTAAGCTGGGACAAAGCGAGAGAGAGGCATGGACATATATACACTACCAAACTTAAGGCAGATAGCTAGTGGGAAGCAGCCGCATAGCACAGGGAGATCAGCTCGGTGCTTTGTGACGGCCTGGAGGGGTGGGATAGGGAGGGTGGGAGGGAGGGAGATGCAAGAGGAAAGAGATATGGGAACATGTGTATATGTATAACTGATTCACTTTTTTATAAAGCAGAAACTAACACACCATTGTAAAGCAATTATACTCCAATAAAGATGTAAAAAAACATATATATATATATTGCCTGGGCTGCCAAAAAAAAAAAAATTCATCATGCTGACACAGATGCAGAGCATAATGCCACTCATTTAGTGGATTATACACCATTACTGGGAAAGCAAAGGTTAAAGGTAAAATGTTGACTATTGTAAGAATAATTGAAGAAATTTATAGACATTCTTAAAAATAAGATAAAGATGGAATCATTTCTGTGCTGAATTTCTCAAAGCCCATTTAATAAAAAATAAATAAAGCAGTAAGTTTTAGAAATTAACTGCTACTGGTTTTCATCAGTATTCAATATTTGTTTACACTGAAGAAAAGCTGTAGTCTAGAATAAGACATGACAAGTTGATATATGTGAGGACTGCACAGATTTAAAATGTATAATACATAAGTGTGATAAGCATAATGCCATGGTAACTATAATTCATGGCCTTTAGTCTTTATAGGAAATTATAACAATGAGATAACAATAAAAATTGATAGCGTCCCAGAAAAAAAAGGAAAAAATACATTTAAAGTGGGACAATACATAAAAGATAATTGTGGGAAATAATAACAGCAATTCAAAACCTCAGAAATACATTTTCTGAGAAAGTAGATTGAGCAGAAAAAGACCTGAATCTGAAATTTGAGCATTTACATTGTCTAGGAATATTTAACCCAGGAAAAGCACACATAAATGTATAGGAATGAAAATATCATCTTTAATGTATAATAGGAAGATCTGACAGATATCTAGAAAATAAAATCAGATTGTTTCTTTAAAAAGTTCTCATACACAGGATCTGCATAATCAGAAGATAAGTATAACAAACAGTTGTAAACCTTTAGCCTAAAAAATACTGTCTTCCAGAGTTTATACTAAATACTAAAATCATTTACGTGCATGTGTGCTTGCACACACTGAGGCCAAAATAGATAAAATGCTCTTTCACAGGCAAGTATTCAAGAAGTATCCTATTCAAATACTTGTCTAAACAAAACACTCAAAAGTGATTTCTTAACAGCCTTTTAAAAACAATAAAAAAACCTCTCGGGATGTCAAAAGTTTTACAGTGAATGTCTAAAAAGCAATATGTTACCTATTTTACATATTATTCTAACAAATCAAAAAATTAGTTACTTTCTCTATAAGCTTATAGAATCAGCACAAGCCAGGTTACAATTAAATACAGAACATAGAAAATAGAAGTACACAGGTGTTCCTTTATAGCACCCCACCCTAAATTGGTAGTAAATTAAATTCAGTAAATTAATTGGTGAATTAAATTAAATTCAGTGAACTCAATAACATTAATGATATCATTTAAAAGCCTGAGATAGCCAACTAAAATCAATTTTAATATAGGAACTCAATATTGTATTCAACATTTTATGTCAAAGTATGAAAACAATAATATGATAAACAGAAAAAATAAATTTCATAGAATCTACACACTCCAAGTAAAATACCTATAAAATTGGAAATAAAATTATTTTTTAATATTAAAGAAATAATATCTACTTTAAAACATATTACATATGGTGAAATGTGAAGAAAACATGAGGTAGCCACATTGTTTTATAAAATTATTTTAAATGTTACTGTATAAATGTTTTAGTACTTTCCTTTTTCTTTTATTTCTCACTCCCCTCATTCCTTGTTGGTATCTCTTCCTCACGTTCTCCCCAGGCAACTCATGCTCATAACCTGATGTGTGTCCTTTCAAGCAACCTTAAATAGATTATGTATCTGGCTCTATCTCAATCTCTATGTTTATCTCTATATCTAAATTACCTACCTAAATTCTTACTTACCTAATCATTTGAAAACATACTTACCTATTTGTTTCAATTAGAGTCCAGAGAGGAGACAGAAACCATACCAACTATTTTAACAGAGAAGAATTTAGTATCAATAATTGTTAACTAGTTTTGATATGCATTTCTCTAATAATTAGTGATGTTGAGCATCTTTTCATGTGCCTCTCGGCCATCTGTATATCTTCCTTGGTGAAATGTCTATTTAGCTCTTCCACCCATTTTTTAACTGGATTATTTGGTTTTTTGATATTGAACTCTGTGAGCTGTTTGTATATTTTGGTTATTAATCCTTTGTCTGTTGTTTCATTTGCAAATATTTTCTCCCATTTTGAGGGTTGTCTTTTTGTCTTGTTTGTGGTTTCCTTTGCCATGCAGAAGCTTTTAAGTTTAATTAAGTCCCATTTGTTTATTTTTGTTTTTATTTCCATTACTGTAGGAGGTGGGTCAAAACAGATCTTGCTGTGGTTTATGTCAGAGTGTTTTTCCTATGTTCTCCTCTAAGAGTTTTATAGTGTCTGGCCTTACATTTAAGTCTTTAATCCATTTGGAGTTTATTTTTGTAGATGGTGTAAGGTAGTGTTCTAATTTCATTCTTTTACATGTAGCTGTCCAGTTTTCCCAGCACCACTTATTGAAGAGGCTGTCTTTTCTCCATTGTATGTTCTTGCCTCCTTTGTCGTAAATTAGGTGCCCATATGTGCATGGGTTTATCTCTGGGCATTCTATCCTGTACACTACTGGGCGTATACCCTGAGAAAACCATAATTCAAAAAGAGACATGCACCACAATGTTCATTGCAGCACTATTTACAATAGCCAGGACATGGAACCAACCTAAATGTCCATCAACAGATGAATGGATAAAGAAGATGTGGCACATATATACAATCGAATATTACTCAGCCATAAAAAGAAACGAAATTTATTTGTAGTGAGGTGGATGGACCTAGAGTCTGTCACACAGAGTGAAGTAAGTCAGAAAGAAAAAAACAAATACCCTATGCTAACGTATATATATGGAATCTAAAAAAAAAAAAAAAATGGTGCTGATGAATGTAGTTGCAGGGCAGGAATAAAAAGGTAGACGTAGAAAATGGACTTGAGGACATGTGGTTGGAGGGCGAAGCTGGGGCGAAGTGAGAGTAGCATCGACATATATCCACTACGGAATGTAAAATAGTTGGCTGGTGGGAAGAAGAAGCATAGCACAGGGAGATCAGCTCGGTGCTTTGTGACCACCTAGAGGGGTGGTGGGATAGGGAGGGTGGGAGGGAGGCTCAAGAGGGAGAGGATATAGGGACATGTGTATGCATATGGCTGATTCACTTTTTTGCAACAGAAACTAACACAGTATTGTGAAGCAATTATAAAGATCCAATAAAGATCTATTAAAAATAATAATTGTTAACTAGGTATATAGAATTATGAAGTTAACCAAACAATTGCATTAGAAAGAGAGAATATAAGCATATCACAGAGGTAGCAACTACAGAAAACAGCCAGTACTCCTAAGGCTGGGGAACCAGCAAAAATGGTGAAATTAGTAAGGAATGGGTCTTTGGCAGAGGGATACCATAGAGGGCATTTCTTTGCCAAGAAAAATATGAGAAATCACATTACAGCTCTAAGATATACCCTGCACAATTTGTTCACCTTTCTTCTTCAGAGTCACCCGTGGGTGAAGCTGTAAGGCAGCTGACCACTTGCAGTTGGCATGGGTGTATCCAAGTAGAATGTGTCTGAGAATTTTTATAGGATGATTTAGGAAAAGAATATGTTAATAATTAATGTGTACTAGGAAACAAGTTACAACTCAAGATTATTCAGTCTAGTCATAAACACCACTAGTGTCTTATGTGCAGATTTGAAGTAGTGTTTATTGAAGTAAACTGTAATAAAGTGTAGAGAGTCCCTCAAATTCCCTTTTTTTCTATGATTTAGGGTAGCACAGGTAGTTTGCATGCATATTGTCCAATGTCTAGTAGAGAAGAATCCTCCCCTTGTAATGCTCTACATATATTTTGCATGACAAGGGAACACCTGCAAGCCTGTAACCATCTGAGCAGAGAAGTGGCTTTATTAAAAAGAGGGAGATGGGAGACCAGTCACAGGATTAATTTAACTCACAGAAGCTGAGCCAGCTCTCCTTAAATTACCTAAAGGAAGAGAGACTGAGCCTCCAGGACTGTCCAGATTTCCTGTCCTTACTCATCTTATTCCAAATGCATTAAGTACTTTAATGTAAATAACAAAACGAAACAAAAACATAAAGAAACGAGAGAAAAAGAACATAAATTGCTATGTGACCTTGGGTGGGAAAGAACTTTGTATCTCACACCAGGCATATAGTTATGTGAAAAAGCAGATTCTAGATCAACAGATGCCTTCTTTATTAAATGGAATATTGTTAAGATATAGGTATACTGAAACCTGTAATAGCATTATGTCTTTGTGGTTCTTTTCTCTATCTTCCTAAATTTCTATGACCAGCATATACTTCTCTTGTTATAGTGAAAAATAAAATGGGCATTATTTTCTGCATGTTTTTAAGTACCATGTCAAAATTATTTGTCAGCTAAGTATTTTCTTCACACTTTCAGAGAACAAATGATCCCTAGGGTGCATACACAAAACATAATATTAAACATTAAAAATAATCAGAATATTTCAAAAATGGCAATTATAAAGGAAGGAAGAGTTAGAAGCAATATAAATTGGCATAGTCAGCCTATTATTTTAGAATCTGGCCAGCACAAATTGGGATGGGACTCATTCCTTGGAAGACTGTTCTTATTTCTTCCCACTCCAGCCATATGTAGGGCCGTATGGTTGTAACTTCCTTCAATTCTTTTCTTAAATGTCGCCTTAACAGGGAAGTCTTCCCTGACCAGCTGATACTGAATATAACATCTCTCCTTTGTTCCTTATGCCTTTTATGGCTTTGTTTGTTGCAATATCATAACCTGGTATATTAATTTTACTTGTTTATTGTCTTTGTGCCCAACTAGATTATAAATTAGAGCAGGAATTGTGTGAGTTTCATTAGCTATCTTATGCCAAATGAGTAGAACAGAGCAATGGATGTGATAGGAACTCAATATTTTTGAATGATTAAATAAATGTAAAAATGATACACTTAGTGATCACATTTTACTTTTGGAGAGGTCTCTTGACTTGTTCAAAGCACTTTCCAAGGGTTTTACTCTTCTTGCTAGGTAAAGAAGGCTCTTATGTCTCGTGATGGCAACAGGGTGAGATGTTAAGCTACTGACAGTTGGCAGCTCTTTCCGATAATATGGTAACGGATGGTCTAAAATAATGAGACTGACATGAGGAAAAAGCAAAGATGATCTAAGAGAAAGTCAATGTGAGAATAGAGCTGCTTATTGCAATCATACTTAAATCTGTGATGCATGTGCCCTTGACATGGTTTATTTATAGAAACCACATATTCTTCTTTTGCCTACGCTTATAGCATTTGGGTTTCTGTCACTTTCAAATAATATATTCCTAACCGATGTTATTAGAGTTATATAATATGCTATAAGGATGTAAAAGTATACGGCTTTGAATAATTCTTAGTAGATTTGAAAAGTAAAAATTAAAATTAAGTAAAGGGTATAACTATTGAGACCTATTGGAGTGAAGAAATAAGGAAAAAATATTGAATTTGTGAGAGAAAAATTATTATACTCTGAAGTTTGATTTTATTATCAACTTCTAGCTCCTCCTTATTAGGGAAAGTGTGTAACTCCAAAGCAACTTTGGCTAAGGTCTAGTAAATGTTCCAGTCCTTTCTGAACTTGTTTATGTAAAGTACACAGGAAGAGCTAAGCACATGTTATTTATCGTTATCAACCACAGTTATTTCATTGTTTGTCAGTGTATTTCTTCAGATATAGCATGCAATTGTTGAACACTTATTTATGTTATTAAAAACACTGCTGTTTTTCAATTTTCTTTGTAAAACATCAGCTGTTAGGGTTATTTTTTAGGAGAAATATATGTGTAATGGTGCTTTTATCCCTCTCTCTACTTCAGTTTGCAATCTGAATACAGGAAAACTGAGGACATGTGCTCTCTCTACCAGATACAGAAAATAAGAGTATTTTAAATCCTTTATGGTGAATGATCTTTGCCTCATAAAATTAGAAGTGAAAAGAGCCTCTTCACTGATCAGCACCAGTATATTTTGTAGAACCATTAAATATACCAATTATCAGCAATAAATGCAGAGATTTCCTGATTACACATTTAGTGCTAACTGCAATTTACTCATCAAAACATCTCTCATAATTAAACTAAGAATCCTCCTAATTATAAGTATTTGATTTTCCTTTGTAAGTTAGAGCTATACATAGAGTATGACACACAGTAGGCATTTGGAAAATATTTCCTGTGACTATCTTTGGGCTGAGTTGATCATTAACAGACTAGAAAATTTTCCTAAACTTTTAATTTTAGAACCGTTTTTGATTTACAGAAAAATGTCAAAGATACTACAAAGTGTTCCCATATAACACACACCCAGTTTCCCCTGTTAACATATTAGTAAGGCACACTTGTTACAATTAATGGACCACTACTGATGCATTATTATTTGCTAAAGTCCTTACTTGATGTAGATTTCCTTAATATCTTTTTCCATTCCAGGATCCTATTCTGAGTACCACATTTTGTTTGACCACCATGTCTCCTTAGGTTCCTCTAGGTTTTGACAGTTTCTCCATTTTTGTTGTTTTTGATGACCTTGACAGTTTTGAGAAATACTGGTTAGATATTTTGTAAAGTGTCCCTTTATGGAAATTTTTCTCATGATTAGACTAGGTTTTGGATTTGAAGAGAAGACAGCAGAGGTAAAGTGTCATTTTCATTATACCAATCGTATAGTCTTACTTCAGTACCTGAGGAAGATTGGTTCCAGGACCTACTA